AGAAAAGATTGACCCTTGACTGGCTCCTGGGAGATAACCTCTAAGTCCTTGAGACATTCTGCCTCATAAGAATGTCTTTGTATACTTGGGGTTCACAAACCAACTCATCAGGACACCCCAACATTTCCTTATTATCCAAGTACTTCCTAAACCTTTAGATCAGTACTCCAAAGAAGAGTCTCTAATCCTCCTATATGTCCTCGCCCACCCAAACTACATCTCCTGGTCTTGCTGCTTGTCCTTGACGTTCCAAAGAGAAGCTCTCAGATTTCGATCACAGTTTCCCAAATTTTAAAACTGCAAGCCCTTTCCCCTTCATTCTTGAAAGATATTTTCATTGAATATAGAATTCTGGGCCAACAGTTATTTTCTTTCAGTACTTGACAAATATTGTGCCATTTCTCTCTGACCTACATGGTTTCAGTGAGAAATCTGTTATCAATCACATTGTTTCCCCAGTGAAGGTAATGTAGCACTCCTCTTTGGCTACTTTCAAGATAGCTTTTTGTTGTTATTGTTTTGTTTTGTTTTGAGACTGAGTCTCGCTCTGTTCAGGCTGGAGTGCAGTGGTGCGATCTCGGCTCACTGCAACCTCCACCCTCCGGGTTCAAACAATTCTCCTGCCTCAGCCTCCCAAGTAGCTGAGACAACAGGCACATGCCGCCCCGTCCGGCTAATTTTTTTTTTTTTTTGTATTTTAGTAGAGACAGGGTTTCATCATGTTGCCCAGGCTGGTATAACTCCTGGGCTCAGGCAATCCGCCCACCTTGGCCTCCTAAAGTGTTGGGATTACAGGCGTGAGCCACCATGCCCAGCCCTTGAGATAGTTTTCCATGTCTGAGTTTTCAGAAGTTTGACTATGACATATCTTGTAAATTTCATTGGGCTTATTCTGTTTAGAATTTGCTTAATTTCTTGAATCTCTAGGCTTATTATTTTTGCCAAATATAGGAAGTTTCCAGCCATTACTTCTTTGAATACTTTTCCAGCCAACTCCTGTCTCCCCTTCTGGGAGGTAAAGGCACTTGTTCTTGCAGCATGCTGTGACTTGGCAGCCAGGACCAGACAGGCAACACTGTTCCTGCTGCTCAACAAAGTCTGAAATAAAAATTGTTAGTGACTTTTGCATTACTTTGTGGGTGTTTGTGTGCATTTACATATTTCTGTACCCGAATGAGTCTTGCCCTTTAAATTTTGGAATCGGTATATACCTTTATTCCACAGCCGTGTCATTACTTCCAAGTCAGACTATGAGTCATAGTATTTTATATCCATATTCCACCTTTTACTAAAGAATATTACTACCTTAATCACTTAATTCACCAGAATTGGTCTTAGATAACTTTTGGCTCTTTAAAATAAATCCAATTTATTCTTAAAGGACATATTTATTATGATAAGTGATACAGGAAAAAAATGTGTCAGCTTCCAAAATTAATTATAAAAGAGAAGTCCTAAAAAGGTGCTGAGAAACCATGATAATCTTCAGCAGCTAAATATCTTCCCAAGGTGACTCCTTTGAAGGTGATAATACTCATGGATATTTTAGTTTCACATATTTGCTATTAAAAATTAGGCTTGGCTAGCTGGGCATGGTGGCTCATGCCTGTAATCCCAGCACTTTGGGAGGCCAAGGTGGGCGGATCATGAGGTCAGAAGATCGAGACCATCATGGGTAACACAGTGAAACCCCATGTCTACTAAAAATACAAAAGCAAAAATTACCGGGCATGGTGGCGGGCGCCTGTATTCCTAGCTACTTGGGAGGCTGAGGCGGGAGAATGGTGTGAACCCAGGAGGTGGAACTTGCAGTGAGTCGAGATCGCACCCCTGCACTCCAGCCTGGGCAACAGAGCAAGACTCTGTCTCAAAAAAATTAGTCTGAGCCAGGCACAGTTTCTCACACCTATAGTCCCAGCACTCTGGGAGGCCAAGGTAAGTGGGTTGCTTGAGCCCGGGAGTTTCAGACCAGCCTGGGCAGCATGGCAGAAACTCGTCTCTACAAAAATTATAAAAATTAGCCAGGGATGGTGGAATGCACCTGTAGTACCAGCTACTTGGGAGGCTGAAGTGGGAGGATTGCTTAAGCCCAGGAGGTCGAGGCTGCAATGAGCTGTGATTGCACCACTGCACTCCAGCCTGAGTGACAGAGCAAGACTCTGTCTCAAATAAAATGAAATAAAATTAAAAATTAGTCTGTTTGCTTTATGATCACTATGTGTGTGTGTGTGTGTCTGTGTGTATGTGACTATTGAGGCTTCCTGGAGAGGGAGGGAAGGAATATTCAACTTCCCCCTTCCCAGATATTCTTGATTAATTTAATAGGAAGTCTGTAGGTACAAGGACTACTAGAAACTCCTGATATACCTTCTAATGCCATTTTCCTGGGAAACTGCATTAGGAGATATATTCATAGACTCATATCAGTAGAAAACTGTTTGCCAATCCACATATTGGGATAATTTGGAATACATGAAGGTCTGTCTTATTGTCTTTTAAATAGATAATTGCTTTGGATGGTAATTTAACATGCCCAAAACTAAGAACCGTAAAAAGTAAACATATTTAGCCCAATGATGTAAAGGCTAAATTCTGGACTTCTAAATCTTCAAGTCAAAATTTCCCCAAAGCCACTCTGTCCCTTGTTAATTGCAAAATAAGTGAATTTTTTTTTTCATTTTTGAAACATAAAGCTTATATTTTATTTAAATCTATAGAGAGAATGTTTTAAAATCTTGGATGGTGACTTTTCCCCTTTGTGATATTTGATTTCTTTAAACATTAACAAACAGGAATTGATCTTATATAGACACTGTCAGAGGTTTTTATTGATTCAATATTTTGTTGTCCTCAAAACAGCCTTGCAAAATAGGCATCTTTATCTCTAGTAGAGGAGAAAACTGAGTTTAGAGAGGTCAAGTACCTGCCCAGTGTGACTTGAACACAGTTGGAATGGTTCTATCTTAAATGGTTCTATCTTCGAGAAGATAGTCATCTACTTCAAGCAGTGCAACAGCACCAACGAGGAGATACCTGTGACTACGAGTTCCCCCATTGAAGACATCAAGATCCCCTGCCTCTGTAGCTCTGAGAACTGCCGGGGACCCTCAACCAGGCCCTGGTGCCAGACTCAAAGGATGTCAGCCGCAGCCTGGGGCTCTGGAGCATGCAGCCCACGGCCCAGGGTCCCAGCCCCACCACCCACCCCCATTTCAGGTGCTGTCCTCTATCCAGTGGCCATGTCAGGGCCTGACACCCCCACACTACACCCAGGAGCCCCTAGCTCCGGCCCCTCAGCAGGAAAGGGCTTTTCTATCATTCAGCCCACATCTCTCTCATTTTCAAAAAATGCCCTTTTCAGAATTTTGTTTAACTTCAACATCAGCTTGTCTCTCCATCTCTCTTCCTTTCTTCCTCTTTCTCTCTTTTCTCTTTCTGGTGGTTATCCTTGGCCTCTTACCGTCAATGCTGCTACATTGTTTTGTCTTCTCTATTTTCTTCCTCATTGTGAGAAAAGATATTTTAACCATTAAAACCAATAACAACAACAACAAAATATTCAAGAGGTACAACTGACATTGATATTCATACTCCCTTATCTCTCCATATTAGGTTCTTTATCTTGAAAGCGTTAGTAGAAACCTGTGTAAAGAGACAATCTAGGTCTCCAAGAAAAGACAAATGGGTTATTATCTACCCCAAGCTTAAGTACTCTCCAAAATACTGTTTCAACAACATAAGTTTATCAGAGACGATTATGCTTTTTTTGATGTGAAAAGCCCAATAGTTTAAATCAAAGATGCCCAGAGGCTCTACTATGAGCTACCACTTTCATTTTATAAGGACATAGGATATCCTTATTGCCACTACTAATATACACAGAAAAGTTTTAAAGTCCTGACTTAAAACCTTCCATTCCCCAGAAATACAATCTGTGCTCTCTTAAATAGGCAGGCCCCAATTTTCATAACAACGTCTGCCAGGATAGGCTGGGTTATGCTGTGATAATAAGCAACTCCAAAAATCATGATTGCTTATACAATAAAGTTTTATTTCTTATTCACACAAACTTCTTGTGTGTCTGGGTAGTTCTCCACGGCATTTGCCCTCCCATATGGTGACTGAGACATAGACTACTTCAATCTTTTGGCTCTTCCATTTCAACATAAATCTCCTTCCACAATTGCAATGGCAGAAGAGAAGAGAGATTTGAGAATCACAAACAACTTTTCACTGCCTCAGCCCACAAGTGACTCGTCCCTTTTGCTCACATTTTATTAGTCATAATAGTCACATGACCCTGCCCACCTGCAAAGGCAGCTGAGAAATACAGTCTTCTGTATGCCTGGAAGAAGAGGAAAATGAGATATTGTTGAATATTAGTAATGTCTACACAATAATCTGCATTATCCATGTCTTTTTACATTGGCATAGACATAGCCATTGGAAACAGAGCTACTTACTCCAGATGGGTAGCCAAGGGCCATAAAAACTCCTCTTTTCTCAGCATGCTGCTGCTTGGGCTTACCAACACAAAATACTTCGTTTTCTCCACCTCTTCTCTTCTCTCCCTGTTTAGTAAGAGGCCACATCGGGGCATGTGAGGGTGTGTGATGGGGAGCCAGAGGGAGGAGGAAGAAGAAAGGCACATAAAACCTTTACGTTCCCCAACTATCTCGGTCTTTGCAATGATCCTAAATCCTATTCCATCTCTTCTTCCCTCCACCCAGCCCTCCTCCTGCTCTTCAATAAATATCTAACAAGTTGGAATTGGGAATTCTTCTGAATACAAAGGTAAGACAAGTGATTATCACCTAAACAAGGTTAAGTACTTGTTGGAAAAGTACTTATTAGCACCTATGTGATTTTGCCTATCACTGCACCACAAAAGTATAAGAGAAAAGTAGAGAAGGAAAGAGTTTTTTTTTTGTTTGTTTTTTTGTTTTTTAAATTACCTATGGCATTAGGGTTCTCCAGAGAAACAGAACCAATAGAATAAATAGACATATAGAAAGAGATTTATTATAAAAAATTGGTTAATGCAGTTACGGAGGCTGGAGGCTGACAAGTCCCAAGATTTGCAGTTGGCAAGCTGGAGACCCAGGAGAACTGACGGTGTAGTTCTAGTCCAAGTCGAAAGGCCTGACAACCAGGAGAGCCATTACTGTTATTTCAGTTCAAAAGCCAGGAGGCTCAAGACTCAGGAAGAGCTGATGTTTCAGTTCAAGTCCAAAGGCAGGAAACAGCCACTGTCCCAGTTCGAAGGCAGTCAGGCAGAGGGAATCCTCTCTACTCAGCTTTTTTGTTCTAATTTGGCCTTCAACCATTCAGATAACGCCCACCCACATGGGACAGGATAGTCTGCTTTACTCAGTCTACCCATTCAAATGTTAATCTTATCTTAGAAACACCCTCACAGATACACCCGGAAATAATGTTTTCCTACCTATTTGGGCATCCCTTAACCCAGTCAAGTTGGGACATAAAATTAACTATCATGACAACTAAAACTTTGGAAACACAAGGTGCCAGTAGGTTGGGAGGATACCTTCTTATACTATTCATTACAGCAGAGGACTGGGAGGAAAAATTACTTTTAACAGCATTATCTAGAGTGAGAGATTGCCTAGTTTTTACTCTACTCCATTTCCCATTAACTGCTTTGGTTGTAGCTTCAGAAAGTTTTGAATAAAAATTAGCTAGCACATAAATGTGTTGGCCGGTAATTCTAATCACCTGCCTTCACCTATGGCTGTATAGCTGATTGCTGCCAGGTGTTAACACTTACCAGCTCATATCAATGTGACACCTACTATGGTGTGAATGTTTGTGTCCCCAGCCCCCCAAATTCATATATTGAAACCTCATCACCAATGTGATGGTATTAGGGGATGGGATCTTCAGGAGGTAATTAGGTCATGACGGCTCTGGTGCCATAGAAGAGATTAGTGCCTTTATAAAAAAAAGAAGCACTAATAGGAACCAGGTGTTTTAATGTGTGCCTGTAGTCCCAACTACTTGGGAGGCTGAGGTGGGAGGATTGCTCAAGCCCGGAGTTTGAGGCTAGCCTGGGCAACACAGTAAAACCCCTGTCTCTAGAAAATAAAATAAAATAAATAGAGGTACTAATAAAAAAGGCACCCTTCTACCACATGAGGAGACAGATAGAAGGCACTATTTGTGAACCAAAAGCAGTCCCTCAACAGGCACTGAATCTGCCAGTAACTTCAACCCGGACTTCCCAGCCTTCAGAACTATGAGAAATAAACTTCTGTTTTTCATAAGCTGCCTTGTGTAAGGTATTTTGAACTACTATAGTCCGAACTACTATAGACTTAGACAATACCTGTACATGGTAAGTAATTGAAATGGACTGTAATTTATGTGTTTTTTGACCTTTTCAGGTTTAATTTCAGAAAAAAATTTGAAAGCGTACATTTTAGTTTTTGTTTTGTTTTTTTGAGATGGAGTTTCACTCTGTTGCCCAGGCTGGAGTGCAATGGCAATATTGGCTCACTGCAACCTCTGCCCCTGGGTTCAAGTGATTCTCCTGCCTCAGCCTTCCAAGTAGCTGGGATTATAGGCGCCTGCCACCACACCCGGCTAATTTTTGTATTTTTAGCAGAGACGAGGTTTCGCCATGTTGGCCAGGCTGGTCTCCAATTCCTGACCTCAGGTGATCCACCGGCCTCAGCCTCCCAAAATGCTAAGATTACAGGTGTGAGCCAACACGCCCGGCCTGAAATGGTACATTTTTTTTTCCTTTTTTTTACAAAAGGAAAATATATCTTAACATTATGGGAGGTTATATTTTCCTTAAATGACTGCAATATCTCTACTGTCTCTCATTCCACATGCTCTTCTTATAATGTGACTAACACTCCTCCCAATTAGTGTCCCCTTTACTTAAATATGGTGTGTTTGTAGCTGCTTCAACAAGTAGAGGACAGTGGCAGTGACACTGTACAACCTCTGAGATTAGGTCATAAAAGTCAGTGCAAGCTCGTCTGAGTCTGAGTGCAGTGGTGTTTACAACTAATTGATCACAACTACTTTACAGATTTCTTTGTTCCTTCTCCACTATCACTGCTTCACTTGGCTAACCTAAAAAGAGAGAGAGAGAGAAAAAAGTATCAGTGCAGCTTCTGCCTTGTCCTCTTGGGACTCTTGTCTCTCTTGGCATGCTCACTTTTGGAGCATAACTGCCAGACTGTGAGGAAACCAAACAGCCACATGGAGAGGCCACACACAGATGTTCCAGCTGAGTTCCCAGTCAATAGCCAACATCCACTGCCAGACATGTGAGTGAACAAGCCTTCAGATCCCAGACCCAGGCAGCAACTCTGAGCTACATTTGTGGAGTCATGCTCTAAGCCACTAAATTTGTAACAGTTTGTTGTGCACTGGTAGATGACCAGACAGTTATAAAAAACACTACTATAGACATTTAATACATATTTAAATTGTGTCCAATCTTTGACATCACCAATTTTAAGATCTTCTGACTCATCCTTAAAAAAAACTCACACAGCATACAACTATTAAGAATTGTGCTACTCTCTGTTCCTGTCCTTAGCCCTTCATTTTTGAGGGGCAATCCTTTCTCAAGTCTGAGAATCATGGTGATCCCAGCTGATTGGGTTATTTCTTGATTCTACTAACCATATACCCTAACACCAATTGAGAGGTTGTTGAGAATTTAGCGATATCTTCTCAGAATGAAAACATGAGAGCGGTTTCTTGCTTTCTCCATTCTTTACACCTGCAAAACTGATTCTTTTCTATACCTTTATCCCAACTCTTACTAGTTTTGAATTCGGGACGGAGGGTGAAGGTAGGTAAAGGAGTATTTTTATAACTGTTATCAAGCAACTCTATTTACACACATTCTTCAACCCTTCCTCAATGAGTATGCTGGATGTTGGTGAATTATTATAATTTTTGGTTTCTAATGATTATAGTGTAAAGGGTTTCATCTTGAAAACTATATTTGGACACTTGGAACCAACGTTAACCGCTAGTAATGGGGTTGTTGGAGGAAAAATACAATTAGTGTACTTAGTAATTTTCTGTCTTTTTCTCTCTCCCCTTTTTGGTCTCCAAAATGTTTAAAATAATTCTCACATAGATTACTATGTGAAGGTATTGTGAGACTCCAAATATGTACAAGACACGGATTTTTTTACCTTTTCAAGAGTAAATAAGGGTTACCAGTGAAAAGGAAATAGCCATATTGTACCAGGACCATCCTTGGGGCAACCAAGGAATAACTGTAATTTTAATCAATTCTTGAGTTACTGTCCTTTGTTCCAGTCCCATAATCAACATGTCAAAGTCTTCTACCATGTACCTCACTTATTAAAAAGAAATGAGTTTCCATAAAGTCGACCATGCATCTTTACCCCAGATCCTCTCCCACTTGGCATCTCTTACTTTACTATTTCTTCTTGTTTACTTGACTATCCCAACTCCCAACCTTTTCTGTCCTGGAATCCACTAGGCCTGGGTTATATTGTGTACATTTTACAAATGATATTCAATAAAAAGGCCCAGAAAACCATGCACTGAGTTTCTATATTTCATTTTTCTTAAATGCTCCAGCTACACCCAAGGCCTGACTGAGGGGCCGGGAGACTGGGCTTCCTGCCCAGGTGGCAGGGACGTGTAATTCTAAGACCGCAGGCAGCCCCTGCTGACGAGATACAGAGGAGTAACGACAGTTAATAGTAAATGGAGCGAAGCCCCGGGAGGTGTAGCGAGCGTGTCCACGACAGCCAGTCACGGATCCTCCGGCCACCCACGCTTCCAGCCGAGACAGTCACGCTCCGCGGGGCCAAGATGGCGCCCTCCCCGCGGCAGCCTGGGCGCGAGAGGCGGGGCCGCGAGTGCCACGTGACCATCCTCGCCAGCCGCGCGTCCCCGGCTGCCCCAGGCGCGCACCAAGAGTCTAGCAGCCGCGCAGACGGTGCCACTGCCCCGCTGGGGGCGTCCTCCCTCTTCCCCGCCTGGCTGTCAAGCTCTGTTCTAGCGGCCGAGGGCCCGAAGGGGGATAGGAAAGGGGGCGCCCAGCCATGCAGAGGCAAAAAGGCGCTGCGGAACGGGGTCCCCGCTGCCGGTGCTGAGGCAGGAGGTCGGAGCCCCCAGTGAGGGGCTGGGAAGCAGGACCCAGCACGGGCGTCTTGTCGGGAGGCTGGGCGCGCAGGGCCAGGCTGCTGTGGGCACTCAGGGCTTTCCGCCCAAGCCATGGGCGCTGTCGGGCACTCGGGGGTCCCCTCGTGGCTCCGGCCACTCGGCGTGGGCATTTCGTTGGCTTCACATCGCCATCCAGCCTCGAAGCCAGCAGGACTGAAAAATAGCTTCGGCCAAACGTTCTCCTCCCGCTAAGGAGAGGGGCCCAGTGCGTCAGCCCGAGGGGACTGGAGAGGGATGCCCTAGCCCTCGGGGGGCGGAGGACCCGCGGTTGAAGGAGGCAGCGGGAGCGGAGAGCGCCCTCCTTGAGCATCGAATGCCTCCTTCTGTGTTTCCATTCCTGCCGAGTGGGCTGGGCCACGCTGACCACCCTGGAGGAGGGACGGACGACGCTCGGCGGGCTCTGACCGTGCTGCCTTCATGTGGCTGCTGACGGGGATCCAGGAGGGAGTGGGCATGGGGCGCAGCCGCTCCTCCCTCCCTCCCCGCCTCCTGGGCGCCGGGGTTGGCGATGTGGAGACGTGAGGGGACCCGTCGGCTGCCCCGGCTCCTCCAGGACTCCACCAGGCGCCCGCGCGTCCCTCCTCACCCGGAGGAGGAGAGGCTCCGCGCGGGGCTCCGAGGCGGGCGGCGCGCGGAGCCGGAGTCCCAGCCTCGCCATGGGACATAACGGGAGCTGGATCTCTCCAAACGCCAGCGAGCCGCACAACGCGTCCGGCGCCGAGGCTGCTGGCGTGAACCGCAGCGCGCTCGGGGAGTTCGGCGAGGCGCAGCTGTACCGCCAGTTCACCACCACCGTGCAGGTCGTCATCTTCATAGGCTCGCTGCTCGGTAAGCCTCCCGCGGGGTGCCTCCGGCCCGGGCCTCCCCGAGGGTACAGGCTCGGAGAGCCGGGAGCAGGGCCGCCCAGCCACCGTGGGTTTCGGGTGCCTGGCAAAGTGCAGAGTTGGAGGAGGCTTAAGGATCCCGGGTAGCTGCAGTGTAGTTAAGCGGGGACGGTGGACTCCAGCCTCCACGCGGGAGCAGAAGAGTTCCAACAGGGCTTCCTCGTGGCCCGAGGATGGAGCGGGATCCAGGCGGGGGTCCCCTTCCTCAGATGGCCCTCGCGGAACGCTCCTGGGTGCCCGGCTGGCTTCAGCTCTTGTTTACAAATAGCGAGGAATAAAGATCCTGTGGGAATTTGTTACTGATGATTGAAAGGAGTGTTACCCATTCTGTTAAAGATGTTTTGCCATCCCATCTTTCCATATATATATCGAAATAATAATATATACGATTATTTTGATAGACCCTTATTCTGTGCATGTTTTACGGCGTGCTTCTTCAGAACACCGACCTGCTGGTAAACAACCCTGTGAAGTTAAGCTATATGTCGCCTGTAGATGATTTTAAAACAACAAAATAAAACCCACTCTACTTCCCCATCTATGTGTTAAGGTACAGAATAAAGGTAGGATAAAATACACACACACACATCCCAGATTTAGGTATAGTCGTTCAGGGAAGAAAAGATCAACGAATTGAAATGAGTGAGTAGTAACATATTAGCCTCCTAGCGTGAGAACTACCTGTACTTCTCACTACTCTTAAATGACAATAGTCTTTATCGCTCCTCTTCAAACATTAAATGATGCAAGCAATATTCATTTCTATTGAGGTCTTCTGAACATATTGCATACCACTTGGATATATGTGGCTTCCTTTCCCGTGTCCCCAATGTGGCGTTTATAAGGATGTGATGTTATTGGCAAGAACAGTCGTAAAGTTTCAAAGTAGGAATAGGTTACTTTTTGCAGACACTTGTGAATTTCTATGGAAACCAAGATAACTGACATTTAATAGACTATTTTTAGAAGAATTTCAAATGTTTGGAATTTCCCTTCATACTTTCTATTATTGTCATCATTCCATTCTACTCTATCATAGTATTTCTCTTCCATTTGTTTGTCACGAGGATATTTTCAGGAGTAGATATTAGTATTGCTATATCTAGGTGTGTGTGTGTGTTTTAAGATGTGCTTTTGTGACTGGGATGTTAAATGCACATTAGCAAAGCAAAAGCCTATGTTCAAAATACTTTCAGTATTCATGATGCATTGTAGGTTTTTGGGAGTTAAATTCTGAGTATTGTCACACTTAAAGTGTGGGTTATTGGAGAGGTAGTAGAAGTGACTGTATTTTTATTTCTGCAGGTTTCCCCCCAATATACATATACATACATACATACATACAAACATACATACGTACATATGTTTTTTTTCTATCCCCACGGATAACTTTAACTCTGAAGAAAGATGGTGTTGGGAGGAGAAATTCTGAGAAATTTTCTCATGGTTTGAGTCTAAAAATTTGAGTACTATTGAAATAGAAGACAGGACATGTATGTAAAAGACATAGCAAATAGTGAATATTTAATGAATGCTACTTCTGTTACCCATGCCCTTTCCGTTATTGTAGGTTGCATTCGATTCAGGAATTTCTAGATAAATCTGCCCTTATTTCAGCTTTTGTCCACATAGCACTTGTGAGTGACATGCAAAACCTTCTTTAGTAGATGTCTCCAAAGGACAACCTGATTTCCTCTTGATCTTTGGTGCCTGATAAGCTAAGGAGTCTTTTTTTTTTTTTTTTTTTTAAGACAGAGTTTCACTCTTGTTGCCCAGGCTGGAGTGCAATGGCACGATCTTGGCTCACTGCAGCCTCTGCCTCCTGGGTTCAAGCGATTCTCCTGCCTCAACCCCCCCGAGTAGCTGGGATTACAGGCACCCACCACCACGTCTGGCCAATTTTTGTATTTTTGGTAGAGACGGGGTTTCACCATGTTGGCCAGGCTGATCTTGAACTCCTGACCTCGTGATCACCTGCCTTGGCCTCCCAAAGTGCTGGGATTACAGGCTGAGCCACCGCGCCCAGCTGGGAGTCTTCTGTTACCCCTTCAACATTACATGGACTCTCCTAAAAGAGAATTAAATTTGCTCCTTTTTATATGCAGAAAAAACCCCATAAATCTGGACAGTATGTCTGGTTTCCTTAAAAGTTTAGCTAGGCTGGGCGTGGTGGCTCATACTTGTAATCGAAACACTTTGGGAGGCCGAGGCTGGTGGATCACTTGAGATCAGGAGTTTGAGACCAGCCTGGCCAACATGATGAAATCCCAACTCTATTAAAAATACAAAGATTAGCCGCGTGTGGTGGCATGCACCTGTAATCCCAGCTGCTCAGGAAGCTGAGACAGGAGAATCGCTAGAACCCAGGAGATGGAGGTTGCAGTGAGTCGAGATTTTGCCACAGTACTCCAGCCTGGGCAACAGAGTGAGACTCCATCTCCAAAAGGAAAAAAAAAGTTCAGCTGAATCACAACATTATGATATACTATATACTTGTTACTTATTTATTTTATTTTATTTTATTTTTTGAGACGGAGTTTCGCTCTTGTTGCCCAGGCTGGAGTGCAATGGCAGAATCTCAGCTCGGCTCACTGCATCCTCCGCCTCCTGGCTTCAAGTGATTCTCCTGCCTCAGCCTCCCGAGTAGCTGGGATTACAGGTGCCTGCCACCACGCCTGGCTAAGTTTTTGTATTTTTAGTAGAGATGGGGTTTCACCATGTTGGTCAGGCTGGTCTCCAGCTCCTGAGCTCAGTTGATCCACCCGCGTCAGCCTCCCAAAGTGCTGGGATTACAGGCGTGAGCCACGGCGCCCTGCCTACTTAGTGGTATTCTTGATTCATTGTTCTCTAAGGACTTGTCCCATTCAAGCGCATCTGTGTACATTAGAATTCTGATAATGTCTGTTGAGGCTCAGAGCTTAAGTTTCAAAGCCATGTGCAGTCAGATGCAAGGCAAGTAAACTTGGGAAGCACATTTCATAAAGCCTCCAAATAGAGAAAAATCATAGATTAGGAATAAAAGAAAAGGAATCTGTATGATTGAAAAGTAAATTGTGGGAGGATGGAATAGTACCTGGATAAATAACTGATTAAGTAACTTACTTTAGTTTACTTATTTCTTCTGCCCCCAAACATAGACAAATTAGTTTTTTTCCCTCTTTAAACAAATTTAAATATACTTATATTCTCTAAATAGACTTCTTTTTATTGAGATTTCCAGAGGCCCATTATTATGTGAAAATAATTCATTTGTACTACTGGTGTCTTGTACCTCTTTTTGAAAACTATTTTAGTGTCTTGTATTAGGAAAAATCCCTAAGAACTTGGAATAATTGTAATATTCCAACTGGAAGATACATTATTTGCTGTGTTGAAAATGAACGCAAGACTTGTACATAATATTATTCAAATAATATGTATTTTGGGGGTTTGCATAAACTAGTGTTTCTCAGCCTTCTTTATACAACATCTTGGCATATCTTTAGGGTATGTTGTAGGTACTGAAATAGAGTAAAATAATTTAGATTCCTCTTCAGTGGCACCAATCACTTTTAGTAGTCAAAAGTGTGAAATCAAAGACTCCAAAAGATCTGGAATCACCATTTCCAATTTAACTGGAAATTGGAAGACAGGAACTTCCAACTGGAAGTTGCCTGTCATCTGTGCCAATCATTATTGGAGGTATAAGAGATTTTTATAAATGAATTTGCTTTTATTTAAAGAAAATTAACATGGTGGGTAATAACCCACAAGTATGTATCCTACATTGCAATTTATTTATTTATTTATTTATTTATTTATTTATTTTTTTTTTGAGACGGAGTCTCGCTCTGTCGCCCAAGCTCGAGTACAGTGGCCCGATCCCAGCTCACTGCAAGCTCCGCCTCCCGGGTTCACGCCATTCTCCTGCCTCAGCCTCCCGAATAGCTGGAACTACAGGCGCCCGCCACCGCGCCCAGCTCATTTTTTGTATTTGTAGTAGAGACGGGGTTTCACCATGGTCTCGATCTCCTGACCTTGTGATCCGCCCGCCTCGGCCTCCCAAAGTGCTGGGATTACAGGCGTGAGCCACCGCGCCCGGCCTGCAATTTATTTTTTACTTTTTTTTTTTTTTTTTGAGACGGCATCTCGCTCTGTCGCCCAGGCTGGAGTGCAGTGGCACAATCTCGACTCACTGCAACCTCTACCTCCTGGGTTCAAGCAATTCTCCCTGCCTCAGCCTCCCAAGTAGCTGGGATTACAGG